TAAAAAAAGAAGAATAAAAAAGAAAAGCCAGGCAAAAAGCCCCCCAGAAAGATATCCAAAACAAAAAGTACAGCTCAACAAATCAATGTGGTTGTGGTGCAGTCTGTCCCCTTGTAGTTAATGGTCRTCATGATGTGAATATAGAAATGTCAATGGGTGCAGTAAACATTCTTCTTACTGGCAGGAGAAGCTGCTTATAACACCTCTTCTTTGGAAGGGATTGATGGTGATGCAAGCAAGATATCACCTCCATGTTATTTTCATGTGATAATTTAACTCTTGATKTTATCACACCTCCTTTCAGTAATACCAGAGGGAAAGCACTGGTAACTCACCTTGCATCTCTGTGGCCTCCACTAAGAGAGGTGGGGCATCCCATTAGCCAGTTGTTGCAGCACTTATGTCTCTGTTGCTTCCACTAATATCACACGAATGGCCTTGCCTTGGTGGCACAGGGGTTCCATTGACTTCCTAGCAACCCAGAATCTTGTTCTCTGACTTGCCTCTTCTTCTAAGAAGGGGAAAACCTGCTTAATGACAATTGACCTGATAATGGATCTTTCATTCTTTCATTCCCACACTCTTTTGAATGCTGCTCCATTCTAAAGCAAGCAAACAGTCCCTGCAGTACATTGAAGCCATTCAAAAAAGAAAAAAGAAAKGATTTGATTTGCTTTGTCTCAAATTGATGACAATGGTCTCTTTGATCGAATAATGACAAGGTACATGTTGACGATGAGAAACAGTTGTTCATGAAGGAAGTTAAGAGCAACATATATCTACTTGAGGAAGAGCTTGAACCAGTTGGCAAAACACTTTTCAAAGCAACACATAAAAGAAAGTTATGTTCCTATGTGCAACAGCAAGACCCAGATTTGATCCTAGAAAGAATACTTGGTTTGACGGAAAGATTGACATCTGGTATGTTGTAGAGGAATACAGACCAGCAGTGTAAGAAAGATCTTCTGTAAATTGTCCCAGAGACACAATGGAAGCCCACTCTATTAATGTCAATGAACAACWGTAAAATAAATGAGACAGTTCTATCTTCTATCTTAGAGAAGTTTCCAGTTCCAGTTGCATCATCCAGGAAAATAATGAAAAGCATCATATACTTAAGAACAGAGCAGCTGTAGTAGTAAGAGCTGCAGCTTGTGCTAGCAACTGGAATATTGTTATGAAGCCACCATCACCACCGAAGAGTCCAGATGTTAATGCTCTGGATTTGGAATTTTTCAATTGTATCTGGATTATCCAGAGAGACTAGGAGGTCTGTTTCAGTCGAGAACAAGGGGCCAGTCAGAGCCATGTATGAATTTAAGACTAAAATTATTATTGTTAAAATAAATAACAACAATGCCATCGCAGTAGAATGCGGAAAAGAAAGGGTAGACGAACAATCGTTTGCAATTRCGTTTCGCACATACTCCAAATRGTATTTTTTATGAAATAGTTAAAGAAATGCCTTTTCGAAATCTTGGTGTGGCATGTGCATGGCGCTGATTGTTTTGAYAGTAACATTGGTAACAGACTTGCCTTCTGCACTCACCACAGTGGATTCCACCAATCGCTGAAGGGCATCAAACCCGTCAAATATCTTGCCCACRCAGGTCTCGTGCTTGCGATGTTCTTTGTTATCGGTTAGATTGATATACATCTCTAAGCGGCTGTTGGTGTTATTCTTAGCATCGTCGAGCAGGGTTTCGTGTAGTCCAATCGTCCACGCACCGTGATGTGTGTCGGGATTATCGAAATYCTGCTGTTTGTCACTGTCCTCGTGGTGCTCTACAAATCCCAGGTGACCCCGATCGTCGGGATCTTCTATCATTGGTAGGATTTGCAAGAGCGTGGAGGTTGGATTCCATTTGATAGCTGCTCCATTCCAGATGCCACGCTGGATTTGATCCAGCCAGGCCCATGCGGCGTGGGGGGCATCGGGCCACAATAAGACCGAAAGGTATGTGCCCTTCGCCATTTGAGCTATCRATTTTTTTTCACCGCCGTTCTCCTGGAGCTTCAAGTGCTTTTTTGCATCATCGTCATGATGTTCATTATCCTCAAAGTTCAATTCGATGACCACTTTCACCGGTCCTTCTCCATAGTTGTTCATGATTTCATCGCGTGCTGTTTCTTGAAGGTGCTCTTGAAGGTTCGYGACCGCCTCGTGCTCCCGAAGCTCGTCCGACATTTTCCGCAACTGGTGGTATTGAGCAAGCAGAGGGTCGGTGTCTTTGCGATCAGTTGATGAATCTTCTTTTGTCGTAGCCTCATCTGAGTCCTTATGTCCATGAACCAATTCGTCAATTACCTTATCGGCGATGTTCGCATTACTCTGTGTCTGGATTCGAAAAAGTTTTTTCCGGATAAGTTCGTGGACGTGCAACGAATGGTCTTCCAATCGATGCAGCTTCAGCAATTCAAGCGACTCGGTCGTCTTTAGACGAATAAGAGCTTGTGTGGCCGATGAGGCCTGAGATCGAGAGAGCACAATCAACACTAAAATTAAAATGAGAACCAGTAACTGGAAGATGACTCCCGCTGAGTAAAAAATATGGACCATGTAAGGTCTCCAGTTCGTTCCCTGTTTCTGCTCGTTGTGTGACGACAGTCGACCTTTTGGTTTTCTTTCGAAAAATCTTTCCATCGAAAAGGGGSTAGTACAGAGCGGTGTTGAAGAAGAGGAAGATGGCGATGTGAACAGGGAGGGTTTGGAGGGCGAGGGTGCTGAGGAGGATCGGTGCATATGTCGCGGAGACTCGTATCCGGGGGTAGAATGATGCGATGACGATGAGGAGGTACCCCAAGATCTTCGGCGTTCATTTTGCTTCCGATGTGAATGTGACTGCCAGTTCAATACAGTTGGTTGGAAAATGCGATTCAAACTGGAGCTGAGCCGTCGGGAATGGCTGTTGYCATCGGGAGAAGAAGTTGAGTAGGGTTCCGAGGAGTTCGACAAATTTTGTGGAGAAGAAACGCGATCTTCCTCTTTCTGATGTTGCCAGCTTAACTTCGATGCTGCAATATTCGCGTTCGTGACRGTGTTGTCACGAGTGCTAAAGATATCATCGTTATCCAAAAACAGATCAAAGTCTGATTGGATGGTACTGCTGCAATTATTTATGCTGCCACCGCTGCTATTGCTGTTCTGGCTTCCAAAGTCTAGATCCTCGGACGAATTGTCCGACACCACATCCATGGTTGGCAGCAGACCAACAGCTGYCATTCTGGTTGGCCTATCGCTGCTGCTATCGCCGTTGTTCGAAATGCTACCTTCGTCTCCTTCGTGAGCCAAATTTCTTTGTCCACTGCTTGCACAATCGTRGTGGGCGTTTCTTTGTTCGTCAATGCTTGGCAGGATAAAGGAAGCTCGCTYAGAAAGCGCTGAATGCCTGAAAGTCGCCGAATCGGTTCCTGGGGATTGTGGACGTARRGTTGTTGATGGAATTGAAGATGTTGCCGTCTCGCGTAGTGCTGTTTGGCGTCGAAGGCCTCCGTCGTTGACAAATACTTGCAGGCTCATTTGCGGACATAKTAATTGACTCGGCTCAAACCTTGGTTCATCCCTCAACAAGAATCTCGGAGCCTTCTCAATTTCAGAATTTGATTCAKTACTAGTGWAWTTGCCGGCGTGGATTCGTTTCCTTCTYTTGCAATTTTGAAGGATGCTGCCGCTACTAGTACTGTGAACATTGCTATTAGGTTCCWTATCGTTTTCATGAACGTAAACCATYATGCATCATGATACGGATTGGCGTCCACAGCACTGTTCAACAATGCTTGGTCTTCCCTRTTGTTTCGTAGTTCTTGTTTGCTGATACSTGGAATACTCAYAACTGCTAGTCACGAGGCTACTAAATCGCACCGTTATCGTCGCCTCGATTGTGCATTTCTAATTTGTACAGCGCCAATACAGTACTTACTTCGTACTTCCTGGACATTTGAAACAGTTTTGAATGTTGGGATGCTTCGCCTCGAGGAAGGCCAGGGAGAGGCGAAGGCATCCACTTTCTTCCAGTGGTCATCGGACATAATAACCATAATCATAAAATTATTTGTCACTAATACGTTACTAGTAAGATCTTACGAGAACTTTCGCCTTGAGAACCAAATCTGGATTCATCCGTCATTATGAAAAACTGCTCATGACTATCGAGGATTCGCCTATGACCTAACGATGACTTTGGAATTCAGGAGAACAATTAGGTTGTCGCTTTTGCCTGCAAAATGTACGTGTGCTCTTTAGTGCCGTAACCTGCAAAATGTACGTGTGCTCTTTAGTCCCGTATAACTACGTGTTTACAATAAAGAGTGAGCTTATTCACTAGCTATTCGTGATTTAGGCTCACATTGCCAACCCTGTCTTTTGTTCCTGATTTTTATGACCGGTACGACACCTGCGTAACATCTTCATTTCCGATCCATTCTCTTTTTAGGAAACTTCCTTCGAAGCTCTTGAAAAAGGGAATAAAAATGAGTACGTACTCGTACGAACTCGTAGGAGCCGATACGAGTAGTAGTAGTCATGGAAGTCGAATAGAATAAAAAGTACAAAAATAGTCGTTATTCGACTGGAATTGTCCTTCTGGACCCTTCCGAATCAGCCTTTTTACTGCCTTCTTACCCTGCAGGCGCGAGACTGTAGGTAAAGTTACGGAAGACTAATAGACATCGAACACGATTGAAATTTGAGTTGTGGTAATGGGGAAAGTACTACTTAACAATATCATTTGGTCGCACCGCGTCCACCCGCCAGCAAGATCATATTCAATGGACATGTTCATCTGTGTAATTAGTAGTTACATCTGAAGGGAATTTTTCTTGCAACCATAAAGCTACCACCAAGCTACCAGAAAGCTACCAGAATTTCTGGTTGCACAAGATTACGTGTACTCTCTTAGTAGGTGTTAAGTGTGTATGAAA